TTAAAGTTTTCGCCTTTTTGTCGCAGGAAATGTCATTGTGACGTCACGATTTTCTTCAGAAAGTCGATTGAAAATCTGACGGCCATCCGATTTCCAAACGACTTTCAGACTTTGCTTTCGACTTTCGACTTGGGTGGTCACACGGTAAGATTTTAGTCGAAAGCAAATCGGATGGAAAAATCGGATGAAAAATCTCATCGTGTGACCGCACCTTTAGATATAGTTTCAGGGAGATCTTTTGCAGGATAAGCCTTTTGCCTCTGGTTTTGTCAAGATTTTTCCATATCTGCTACACTTTTTTCTTAGTTCGGGGCTTGCATATCGATGAAATGATGGATTTCCTTGGCAGAAAAATGATATTAAATATCTCATGCAGAAAAATTAACATTAGGGGTGGGATAATTGTCTTTAGCCCATACATTTTTTTCTCATTTCATCTGCATTTGTAGTACACTTGTCATGTATATATTTTCCAATCATGGTATCTTAGAGGTAACAGTCTTGTCCTGGAAAATGTTACTATCTATTGACATTTTATATTCAGCTCTAATTCGCTATATACTTAGAATCTTTGTGAAAGAATTCTTTAACGTAACAAGAACAATTAAAACTACTACCAAAGTTTGTCATAGGCAAGTAGGAAAATCAAAATGAGGAAAAATAATCTGTACATCGCTAAAAAAAAGAATACAAAGAAAACACATATAATTTACATACGAAAAAGTTCATATTTATAGTGGATAATTACCTCTGTTACTAGCTGAGGACTTCCTTTTGACTTCTTCAACGGCTACAAAGCCTACAATATCATCTCTGAACCTATCTGGGACTCTTTTCTCGTAAGTACAAGTTTCTTTATTCGAGTAATATAAAACTTCTTTACAGACAATTGGATAAGCGTATTGACTTGTTCCTCACTGTCACAACTTGTTGAACACTCCTGGTATCCTTTAAAAAAAATGGCTTTTAAAGATTAAGGATATCAGAGCAAAATAATCTAGTTTTTTATCTTAGTTGGAGGTCTGTATAAATATATTTTAAAGCATAAAATGTTTTGAAGCTATAAATTATTTGTTCATATCTCTACGAATTGAAACAATATGTCATAGAGGTCTTTATCAATCTTAAATATAAAACACTTTGTCAGTATTACCTGTATATTGTTTGTTTGTTAGTAGATTTCCATAGAAATAAGCAAAGTTATTAAAGTTCAGAAATATGAAGAGGATTTAAAAATAACGGACATAATTTTGTTGATACTCAGTAAACCTGGTAGGTGTCCTTTTTGAGAACTAATAACTGTTAGCAAACTTTTAATAAACAATTCAATGGAAATATTTTGTTATCTGAGCAAAATCATCATGTTTAATAACTGAAAAACGAAACGACTTTAATTTTATCAGCAACATAGCCAAATTGGTAAGGATAGTAATTAAACACTTTATTTTGAAAGCCAAAATAAATTAAATACAAGCATATTTCAGTAAATTTGGATGAATTAACTTAGTGTTATCCACCACGTCGTTGACCAAATTTTGCACCTCGCCGTCTAAAGAATAATTATTGCAGCCCGGAGGATCGGGCTGCTCTATACATATAAGTTTAAGTTTTGGTGTATGGGGATTGGGGTGGGAGTAGTTATTCAGAATTAAAGCTAAGTTTTCTAAACATTGAAAAGAGTGTTAACCAGGATGTTCTTTCCCTTTTGAATTGCGAGATACATTAATATATTTACTTCCATAAAGTGAATCTTAAAAAATATATATGTTTCTCATATTTAATAGATAAAGTTGCTTATCATTCACTATCGAAAAAACGACAGGTCCCTTTTTTTTTTTAGAACATCGAATTTTACTTCTCGCATAAAAACGTACTCTGCGCTGTTCGTGTTTTATATTCTAAAATTCAAAATTAAAAACATTTTTGAATATAGGTGATGCATGTGTCTAACTTCAATTAATATTTTATGCAGCCAACATTTACCCGAGGAATTGAAGTTTAAAATGGTATCGTTTTTGTTTGATATTTATCCGGCTAAACGTTTTCAAAATATTTGCGACTATCGTCTCCATCTATTAGATGCATGCTTTTTCACACATATCGGAGCTGTTTGATGATTAAGACTCATTTCCATTGTTTACTTTATATATTTCCCGGGCGACAATTGATGGTTACATCAATGTTTTCTTGCGAGTTCTTTATCCAATGTCTGGGTGTCATTCTTCAAGACAATATAAAAAAGGATGTTGCGTCAGACAAATACGCGGTGAGAGGATACTCTCAGGATGTTGTTGTTGTAAAATATATATTTCTCGACTATTCTCGAACTGTATACATGTATAGAGCGACTCATTTTCTAAAGCATACAATCTTACCGAACAAACCAGGTTCCTTCTTGAAACCAAGTCTTTCTTCTACAATGAAATTAATATCTTATAAATAAATTTCAATCTCGGTTAATAGTTGTAATGATAGAAATTCAGATAGGAAACGCTCTTTTTCTCGGTTCATAGGTTAATAATTGCTGAAATAGATTTTTTTACCATTTATATCTGGTATTTCTATGTCATATTTATGACGGGAACATGGCATACCTGTAATATTTATCAAAAATTAATAATTGTGATATATTAACATTATACCTAAAAAATAACTTCATGGAAATTTTTAATCGCATTGTCTTACTTAGTAAATTAGCTGTCTCAAGATTTAAGTCTATCATATAAGATGCATACTACTATGTTTTAATCATGTGTATTTGAATTTGTATGAAACAAAGAGAGAAAGTATTGCAAACTCTTATATCGCGCGTCTAAAGAATAATTATTGCAGCCCGGAGGACATGGTTGCTAGCTGGATAGCAGAAAGTTTAAGTTTGGTGTATGGCTGCTTATATGGGAGATTTTTCAGAATTAAAGCTTATTTTTACTTTCTACATTAGAAATTGAGTGTTAACCAAACGAATTCTCTCTTTCCCTCTTTGAATTACACCCAAGCGAGCTGTCATACATTAATATATTTAACTTCCATAAAGTGAATATTAAAAATTCATATATATCATTGTTTCTCAATTATTCAAATTTGATTGAATGTTTTAGTTTTTTTTTTCATGATAACTGCCACCAATCTACAGAAAAAACACAATACCTTGTGTTTGCACATCGAATTTTGAAACTATGTCGTCCCGCATAAAAAAAAAACATTTAAAACCAGCTCTGTACTAAAATTATAAATATCTGCAGATAAAAATTCTGAATAGAAAATTGTTTTCTGTTACTAACACAGTTAATTGTTTATTTCTTTGTGTAATCTCTCGTATTAATATTTTATGCACTTAACATGCTTAATCTGAGGAATTGAAGTCATTCATAACAGGTTTCATTTTTGTTTGATATTTCAATCCGGCTAAACGTTTTGATAACAATTATCACTCAGTTCAGTCGTGAATGTATTAGAATGGAAGTACAAATTAAAAATTTCACACATTATCGTAAAAATACATTTTGATGATTAAGACTCATTTCCGGATAAATGAGTCAAAATTACGTTATATATTTCCCGAGAAAAATCGTCCGGAAGGTTACATCAATGTTTTCTTGCCGAGTTCTTTAGGTCCAATGTATGGGTGTCTTTTCAAGCGGGGGGTATAAAAAGGATGTTGCGTCAGACAAATCGCGGTGAGAGGATACTCTCAGCATGTTGTTGTTGTAAAATATATATTTCTCGACTATTCTCGAACTGTATACATGTATAGAGCGACTCATTTTCTAAAGCATACAATCTTACCGAACAAACCAGGTTCCTTCTTGAAACCAAGTCTTTCTTCTACAATGAAATTAATATCTTATAAATAAATTTCAATCTCGGTTAATAGTTGTAATGATAGAAATTCAGATAGGAAACGCTCTTTTTCTCGGTTCATAGGTTAATAATTGCTGAAATAGATTTTTTTACCATTTATATCTGGTATTTCTATGTCATATTTATGACGGGAACATGGCATACCTGTAATATTCATCAAAAATTAATATTGTGATATATTAACATAAACCTAAAAAATAACTTCATGGGAATTTGGTAATCGCATTGTCTTACTTAGTAAATTAGCTGTCTCAAGATTTAAGTCTATCATATAAGATGCATACTACTATGTTTTAATCATGTGTATTTGAATTTGTATGAAACAAAGAGAGAAAGTATTGCAAACGAAATATCGCCGTCTAAAGAATAATTATTGCAGCCCGGAGGATCGGGCTGCTCTATACATATAAGTTTAAGTGTTAGTGTATGGGGATTGGGGTGGGAGTAGTTATTCAGAATTAAAACTAGGTTTTCTAAACATTGAAAAGAGTGTTAACCAGAATGTTCTTTCCCTTTTGAATTGCGAGATACATTAATATATTTACTTCCATAAAGTGAATCTTAATAAATATATATGTTTCTCATAATTAATAGATAAAGTTGCTTATCATTCACTATCGAAAAAACGACAGGTCCCTTTTTTTTAGAACATCGAATTTTACTTCTCGCATAAAAACGTACTCTGCGCTGTTCGTGTTTTATATTCTAAAATTCAAAATTAAAAACATTTTTGAATATAGGTGATGCATGTGTCTAACTTCAATTAATATTTTATGCAGCCAACATTTACCCGAGGAATTGAAGTTTAAAATGGTATCGTTTTTGTTTGATATTTATCCGGCTAAACGCGTTTTCAAAATATTTGCGACTATCGTCTCCATCTATTAGATGCATGCTTTTTCACACATATCGGAGCTGTTTGATGATTAAGACTCATTTCCATTGTTTACTTTATATATTTCCCGGGCGACAATTGATGGTTGCATCAATGTTTTCTTGCGAGTTCTTTATCCAATGTCTGGGTGTCATTCTTCAAGACAATATAAAAAAGGATGTTGCGTCAGACAAATCGCGGTGAGAGGATACTCTCAGCATGTTGTTGTTGTAAAATATATATTTCTCGACTATTCTCGAACTGTATACATGTATAGAGCGACTCATTTTCTAAAGCATACAAACCAGGTTCCTTCTTGAAACCAAGTCTTTCTTCTACAATGAAATTAATATCTTATAAATAAATTTCAATCTCGGTTAATAGTTGTAATGATAGAAATTCAGATAGGAAACGCTCTTTTTCTCGGTTCATAGGTTAATAATTGCTGAAATAGATTTTTTTTACCATTTATATCTGGTATTTCTATGGCATATTTATGACGGGAACATGGCATACCTGTAATATTCATCAAAAATTAATATTGTGATATATTAACATAAACCTAAAAAATAACTTCATGGAAATTTGGTAATCGCATTGTCTTACTTAGTAAATTAGCTGTCTCAAGATTTAAGTCTATCATATAAGATGCATACTACTATGTTTTAATCATGTGTATTTGAATTTGTATGAAACAAAGAGAGAAAGTATTGCAAACGAAATATCGCCGTCTAACGAATGATTATTGCAGCCCGGAGGATCGGGCTGCTCTATACATATAAGTTTAAGTGTTAGTGTATGGGGATTGGGGTGGGAGTAGTTATTCAGAATTAAAACTAGGTTTTCTAAACATTGAAAAAAGTGTTAACCAGAATGTTCTTTCCCTTTTGAATTGCGAGATACATTAATATATTTACTTCCATAAGTGAATCTTAATAAATATATATGTTTCTCATAATTAATAGATAGTTGCTTATCATTCACTATCGAAAAAACGACAGGTCCCTTTTTTTTAGAACATCGAATTTTACTTCTCGCATAAAAACGTACTCTGCGCTGTTCGTGTTTTATATTCTAAAATTCAAAATTAAAAACATTTTTGAATATAGGTGATGCATGTGTCTAACTTCAATTAATATTTTATGCAGCCAACATTTACCCGAGGAATTGAAGTTTAAAATGGTATCATTTTTGTTTGATATTTATCCGGCTAAACGTTTTCAAAATATTTGCGACTATCGTCTCCATCTATTAGATGCATGTTTTTTCACACATATCGGAGCTGTTTGATGATTAAGACTCATTTCCATTGTTTACTTTATATATTTCCCGGGCGACAATTAATGGTTACATCAATGTTTTCTTGCGAGTTCTTTATCCAATGTCTGGGTGTCATTCTTCAAGACAATATATAAAACACCCCTACTAATGTGTTCGGATGATATTCTTTATCGCTGCTAAGCGTAGCGTAACATCCGAGTGGTCGATTTGACCTCTAACGAGACCAGCCTCGAGACCATGCGAGATCTGCACCAGTTCCTGTAAGATTTAGACAGGAAGTAGATGTGTGTTTTGGGATTTATGTATTTAATGTAAGTAAAGCTCATTTTATTTGCCTTCTTTCACTTGAACATTTTTTGCACATAAAAACTGATTCAATTAGTCTTTATTTCTCGAATTCTATCACCTCAAACACACGAAACGAGAAACATTAAATCAGGTGCATTAGAGTTATCGTCCTTTGTTTACATGCCTCCACGTGGTTGGAAAAATAAAAATCTTTTGGTGTTATAAAAATATATAGGGCTTGTCAATGTTTTTGAATTAATATACTAAATTATTTATGTTGTTCTTGGTGTTGTGAAATATTTTACCCCAGTATTAAAAGAAGTGAAAATGATTCAATGTGCAGAAAATGTTATAGTCTGTTTTACTTCTTACATAGCAGATACACAATTTCTCACTTACATGCAATATACATGTATTAATAAACATGCGAAGAAGTGCTTACCGGTAATTAAATGAATATAGAATGAATGTGAATATTCAAAAGATTATAAATGGAGAGAACAGCAACAACCCTCAAGTGATCAGCTGGTGATTATTATTCAGGCGCGGATCTAGAAATTTTTCAAGGGCGAGGGGTGGGGGGGGGGGGGTGAAGAAAAGAGTATACATACATTG